CTTGGAAAACCTGCCTTATTTCTTTTTCTTTGTTCTTTTTTCTCCTTTTTGAAATTTTATTTATTTTTGAGTCAGGGTCTTACTTTGGACCTCTGGCTGACCTGGAACTATTAGACTAAACTGGTCTAGTACCCACAGAAGTCCCTTGCCTCTGCTTCCTGAGTGCTGGGATTAAGCATGTGTACTACTAAGCTGGGCTAAAATCTGTCTTTCTTGAATGAGAACAGCAGAATAGAAAATAAAGTAGACCTTCCTTCCTGCTCAGATCTCAGAAACTGAGTCGTTAGCTCAGTAGAAGCATCTGACAGGCTACTTCAGGATAAGACAGTGACAGACTGGCAGCTTAGTTACTTAAAATAGGAATATCTGACACTAAGGTGGCAGTTACTATTGTCGGACATAAGCCTAATCTATGTGCACATGCATAAATACATATTATAATATACATATGTATATATACATATCACATACATACATGCTAATCTATATGTTATATTTTAGACTAATATTTGTAGTGTTATTTTTTTCCCATTAATTTCTTTAACTAACTGAGAGAGGTAAATACTATTCTTCACTCTCTTAAAATAGAAAGAAACTGACATCTAGAGAAGTTAGATAAATTGCCCAGTTGGGCGGTGGTGGCGCATGCCTTTAATCCCAGCACTCAGGAGGCAGAGGCAGGCGGATCTCTGTGAGTTCGAGGCCAGCCTGGTCTACAAGAGCTAATTCCAGGACAGACTCCAAAGCTTCAGAGAAACCCTGTCTCGAAAAACAAAACAAACAGAAACCAAAAACAAAACCTTGCCCAAATTATCTAAGAAAGTTGAGGATTGGGTTAAATTTTGTTAGTTACCTGTATGCATATAGGTGGACAATATGCTTGCCTATTGGATCCCCTGGAACTGTGGTTACAGATGGTTGTGAGCCATTACACGAGTGATGAGAACATCAAGTGCTTTTAACCACTGCCCATCTTTCCAGTCCTTATTTTGATTTTGTTGTCCTCTCTCTCCCTGTCCCCCTCCCCTTTTCCCTCTCTCTCTCTTCCTTCCTTACTTTCTTCCTTCCTCTCTTTTTGAGACAGTGTCTATGTAGATCTGGCTGTCTTGGAACTCAGTGTATAGACCAGCTGCCCTCAGACTCATAGAGATCTGCCTGCTTATGTCTCTGGCTCTGGAGTTTGGCATTAAATGTGTGTGCCTGTATGCCTGGCCCTTGTTTGATTTTTGATTCAGGATTTTACTGTGTTGTCTAGGTTGGCCTGGATCTTGCAATGTGTCCTAGATTGGGCCCTATTTGTAATCCTGCCTCTTTGGAGTGCTGGGATTATAGACATATGCCACAGTGTCTGATTCTTGGGAATTTTGAGCCCTGTATGGCTCCAGGCATACTGTACCATGCCTTGTTTTTATAAGGTACTGGTGCTTGAACTCTGGGCTTGTGTATGCTATACAAACACTCCTCTTGTTAACTGAGTCACGTCCTCCACTCTTCACTGTGTCATCTCTCTTCATAAATAGGGTCATTTGAACCACAGAACAGAAAACAAGTAGCTGTTTTTCTTTCCTTCCTTCCTTCCCTCCCTCCCTCCCTCCCTCCCTAGAATTACAAGTTCCAGCCATTACAATGGGACCCAGATGACTTATTTATTTTTCTTAAATTGGTATGTAATTTCTGCTATGCATTGGAGAAAATAAAATTTCAGTTGCAATGCCTTAGGGGTATTATGCCTTAATTTCTGAGGAATGTCAACCAAAGACTAAAGAGGTTGAAATTTGCAAATATCTTATTTTTACAGAGTTGTTTTAGAAGTAATTTCCTGGTTGTTTTAGAACTGGTTTCAGAAACTTGGAACTTGGAAAGTGGCTCTCAGTTGGTAAATTGCTTGCTACTCAAGGAGGAGGCCCTGGGTTTGGATCCCCAGCACCCTGTAAAAAACCAGTTATGGTAGTAAATGCTTGTAATCCCAGTGCTGGGGAGGCTCACACAGGAGGATCTTTGCTGGCCAGGCAGTCTACTGAATCAGTCTTACTGAACCAGGCAGGTTCAGTAAGAGGCCCTGCCTCAATAAAAATCAAGATGAAAATTATATCAGACCTCTGATATATCTACTTGCACATATGTGCCTGCACACACACTAGTTTAGATTCCGGAGACTCAGATCTCATTGGCCCTTTTGTTTGGAGGTGGTTTTTGTCAGAAGTGTGCCTTATCAGGAATAGTGAGAAGATTAGCCTCCTGGTGAGTACAAGCCTTGCCAAACGGGTGACTTTTTCCCAATAAATCTCTAGGCTGTCAGGCCCAAGCCACCCTGGGATTTGTAGTAGTAGTCATTGCTTTCCCAGTTGTCTTTTTTTCTTGTTTCTCTTCATTCCTGAGGTCACTAGTCAGATATCCCATTGTCTAACTGCAGACCTATGTCTTTTCTCTTGGTCTAGTTTAAGAGCTTTCTCACAGGCACGCTTATTTTTCCAGCAACAAACTATGGAAAGTTCTGCCATGCCTTTCTTCTATGTAGATCCTAAGTTGCTTCAAAATAGCTTGGAATAATTACAGTAGCTTCCTTTAGAACTTATTAAGTAGTACTGTGTATTACTGGCCCTGCCTTCTCCACAGCATAGGGAATCGTTTGTAATCAAATAATAAGTTACATGGTAATCTGTGCTTGAGTGGCTTTAGAATATTTAGCATATATGAAAAGAAAAGATGCTAGTGAAAAGGTGAAATGAAAAAAACTTTAATTTCAAGATGAACAAAGCCAAACTTAGTTCCATTTTGCTTTAACAATTTGTGTTATTTCAAGGTTTTCATCTTTTCTGTATGATTTCTCTATTCTTTTTAAAGGAGAAAGGACAAAGTTCTTTTATTCTTCTTTCATGAGATCTGCCCATATCACATGATTGATTCATTCATTCACTTAAAACATGCATTTTGTTGCCTTTTATATATTAGTGTCATTCTAGGTACTGATAGAATATCAAAGAATAAAAGAATAAAAACTTATTTATCACACTTCTGCATTCTTAACTACAATTAATACTATATTAATAATATATTAATACTAAGTGTGATGAGAAAAAACAAGAAATGGTGGGGATTTAGGAAAAGAGAGCTTGCACGGTTTGTTGTTGTTGTTTGGTTGGTTGGTTTTTCAAAACAGGGTTTTTCTGTGTAGCCCTGGCTGTTCACTCTTAAGACCATGCTTCAAACTCAGAAATCTGCCTTCCACTGCCTCTGACTCCCGAGTACTGGCCCAGAGCCCGCAATTAAAGTAGGTTGATCAGGAGCTACTGTATTGAGAAGTGATGCTTGCATAAAACCCTGCAGGAAGTAAATGGCCAAGCTGCACAAAGAGAAAGCTTGATTCAGGTAAGGAATACAAGTACAAAGTCCCCAGGTCTCAGTCATACAGATAGTTGTGGAATGTAGTGAGAACCCGTATGACTGGTGTGGGTGAGTCAGAAGTACATCTGTAGGCCAAGTAACATGTAGTATTTTCACTTTGGGTTTATTGTATACTTGATGGGAAATCTTTGGAGGATTTTCAACAAAGGAATAGCATTTGATTTTATTACTTTTTTTCCTTCTTCTTGAGGCAGGGTCTTATGTAGCATAGTCTGACCTCAAGCCTTGGTTTTCTGATCCTCCCGCCTCGTCTGGAACAGTGGTATTACAGGCACGCTCTACAGCGCCTGGTTTGTGCAATGCTCGGATCCAGGGCTTTATGCATGTTAGCCATCTGAGCTATGTTGTGAACCTAATTTTATTTCATTTTTTAAAATCATCTGACTACTATTTTGAGCCTACTGTGTATTTCCTTGGAGACATGCTTTAGTTCAAGAAATGGTTGCAGCTGGGTTGAAAAAAACGGGTAAGTTTTTCTTCTAGAAGACTCAAGTTCAGTGAATTCCTTGAATCTACTTCAGGTGGCTCACAGCTGCCTTAACTCTAGCTTCAAGGATCTAAAACCTCTGGCTCCACTCGTACCTGCGTGTCATTGTACATACCCACACTCACACATATTGTAAAATAATGAAAATTAAACTTAAAAATAGTAAACAAAGAAAAAGTTCCAATCATCCAGTGAAGAAAAGAGTTGGCAGGAGGTGGGGTGGTGAGCGGCGTGCAGTCTAAATGTATGTTGGATGTAGAAGTACGACTGACTGGGTGTGAGTTCTCAGACCAGGCTTTTCAAGGTTTAGTACACGTAATGGAGTGCTTATTCTGGGTGGAAGACACAGGGTTTTGTGTTTTTTCATTATTATTACTATTATTTTACTGAAAGAGTAGGTTTGGTGGGAAAGAAAAAGTCTAAAGGCATGTGCCAGTCACCACACTTGACTGGCCTCACATTCTTCCTCTTTCCGCCTCATTCTCAGGTGCTGGGAGTATGGACATGTACATGGCTTGCTATTACTATTTGTCAGTTTGGACAATTTGACAATTTTGTAAAAAATACAAAAGACGGCTAAGTTTCATAGTAGGAGTAATTCTCCCAAAGAATAATTGCCAATCTGTTTACATGTTGCTTACTCTTTTTAAACTACACATCTTCTTTTCCGTCTCAGGAAGTATTGTAACTGTATTACATTAAGTCTTGACAATGGGCTCTCCTAATATGTTCTTGATGATCACACTCAGATGCAAGATCTATTGTAGAGATATTGTCCTCATTCTGATTTTTAGTCTTTTTTTTTTTTTTTTTTTGGTTTTTCGAGACAGGGTTTCTCTGTAGCTTTGGAGCCTGTTCTGGAACTAGCTCTTGTAGACCAGGCTGGTCTCGAACTCACAGAGATTCACCTGCCTCAGCCTCCCAAGTGTTGGGATTAAAGGCATGCGCCACCTCCGCCTGGGTTTTTTTTTTTTTTTTTTTAAATAACTAGCTGAATGTATCTTGTTTCCATGGCTGTCAGCATAGTGATGCAGTACAGCAGACTAGGATGTACAGAAGCTTAATAACAGTATTGTGTTTTTCTTCTTGTCTAACCTCCTCTCTACAGGGCATTTTTAACCAGTTTCAATGTAGCAGTGAAAAAGTGCTTCCCTCTGACACTCTCCGCAGTGCTCTGGCAAAGACTTTCCAGGATGAGCAGCGCTTCCAGCTGGGAATCATGGACGATGCTGCAGAGTGCTTTGTAAGTGCTGCCCTCGTGCCCTCTTGGTCTCTGTCAGGGACTATTTTATGACGGTGTTTACTGTGCCCTGCTCTGCACTGGAACCAGAGGTCTAGAGTCTACTACTGCAATGGGAATTGCCTAGTAACTTTATGATTTTTTTTCCTTCAGGCTTGGTGTAGTTTAATGCTTGCTACTACATAAAACAGTGGCTTTTACCTTCAGGAGAAGCAAGGCATGTTGAAGTACAAATTGTACTTCCAGAACTTCTGATCCAGTAGTCTGGCAGAGTTCCCTGGTAATGCTGTATTGATGGTGCTCCTCTTGGGAACCACCATATTTTTTATTAACTTCTTTTTTTTTCTAACAATATTAAGTAGAGACTGTGATTTTCCTTCTAAACAGTTACATTGCTCTAGTGACTTTATCCTTGATCTCCCACCTCCTAAGTGCTAAATGAATGTGCTGACACACAAGAGTGCCACAGAAAAATCTTTGACATTGGATAAATAGTACACAGAGTTCAGAAGAGTTGGGAGTCATTGGCTGGTTTTCATAGTGAGTTTAACTCTTTATTTCTTTTTAAGACTAGGTCTTGCAGTGGAGGCCTTGCAGGACTGGAGCTCTACTGCAGAATAAATAAGGGGTTGTTATAGGAATAATGCTGAATGAAAATGTATTATTAAAAGTTTATTTACTGGGATTGAGGATGTAGCTTAGTTGGTAGAGTACTTGCCTAATGTGTCTAGCCTCGTCTTATCCCTAATATATAAACCAGACATAGATGTACACCTGTAATTCCAGCACACATGAAGTAGAAACAGGAGTATCAGATCAAAGTTATCCTGTGTAACATAGTGAATCCCAAGCCAGCCTAGGATATAGGAAACCTTGTTGAAAAAAAAGTTAATGTACTATACAATACCATTTATATAGTATTCTTGAGATGACAGAATGATAAATATGGAGGACTAGGCTGGTGATTAAGGAGTTAGCAGTGTGGTAGATGGACAAAGGCTCTGAAGAGGTAGCGTGGAGCAGCTATGCAGTGTCTTGATTGTGGCAGAGGTTATAAGACTGTATGTGATGAAATTGCATCCAGTTATATCCAAACCCAAGTTCATGTAAAACAAGTAAAATCTGAATGATCTATGGCTTACATAATTTTTTGTGTTTATCTGTCTGTCTGTCTTTCTGTCTTTTTTCTTTAAAAAAAAAAAAAAGGTTAACAAAATTTAGAGATATTCTTGCTCTTCAGTAAGGTTTTTGGTGAATTGCTTGCCAATTTGTCCATTTGGCTTTCAAGTGTACTGCTTTTGTATTTTCCTGTCAGGAAAATCTGCTGATGAGAATTCACTTCCACATTGCGGATGAAAGCAAAGAGGACATATGTACTGCCCAGCACTGCATTTCTCACCAGAAATTCGCAATGACCTTGTTTGAGCAGGTAGACCTATTGGTCCTCATGTCTTGGACTCTGTCTTTAAGAGCATTTTATCTGGGGTGTAGAGTTAAATGGGTTTCAGAGCAATTGATGATGTGGTTGCTTGCCTTGCTTCTCCCTCTGCCCAGTGTGTATGCACTAGCTGCGGCGCCACCTCTGACCCCCTGCCTTTCATCCAGATGGTGCACTACATTTCCACTACTTCCCTGTGGTGAGTTTCATCCTTTTTTTTTTTGTTTGTTTGTTTAAGATTCATTTATTTTATTTTATGTGTATGAATGTTTTACCTGCATGTATGTTTGGGCACCATGCTTGTGCTTGGTACCTCTAGAGATCAGGGAGAATATAAGATACCCTGGAACTGGAGTTACAAACAGCCATAAGCTGACATTTCAGTGCTAGAAACTGAACCCGGGTCCTCTTAACTGCTATTCAAGTCATTTTTCCAGTCTGCTCTTATGGAATTCTTTATTGTACTGTTAGGTATACCTTCAGTTAATTGGGTTTTAACTGAGGACCACCAAATAACATATATCCTTATTGTTGAATCTGTGCTTTATTACAAGACTCCTAGATTCCTAAGTTTATTAATAGTTAGCAAAATGGAAGGAGAAATGGAGAGTCAGGGATTTGGGGACCGGTAGAGAAACTCAATTTGTTTGTAGGACACTGAGGTTAGTCAGGGCATGGAACTGTCATATAGTCAGCAAATGAAAATCACACATACACATGACACCTTTAATCCTAGCTCTTGGGAGGCAGAAACTAGTGGACCTCTCTGTGTTAGAGGCCATACTGGTCTACATAGCTTGATCCAAGACAACCACAGAGAACTCAAAATAAGACCCTCTCTTAATACTGTATTTCAGTTATCTCAAAAGCAAATTATGACCCATAGCATTTTTTTCATAAGGAAACAAATCAAGTGTATATGAAGATTTTGCTACAATGTAATCCATCACCGAGCAGGTTGTACTTATACACTGAGGAAGACACACCCCCCCACACACCCATATACCCTAACAATCAGGAAAAGAAGAAGCCATGTATTTGAAAAAGAACAATGGGGTGTATGGGAGGGTTTGGAGGGAGGAAAGGGAAGGAAGAAATAATGTGATCATATTACAATATCAAAAATAATTAATATACCCAACAAAGCATCAAAATTGTAATTTTCTTCAACAGATACTATGGGTCCCCACGAGAGGAGTGCAGCACTGGTTAAAGGACACAGATGTTGTTCTGGATTTTAGAACTGTAGATAAATTTATCTTCCTTTCTAGATTTTTCTGGAAACATTGCTTTCTGTAATAAAAGCTCTAAACTTATTTTTAAAATTAAAAAAATTCTCCTTAAAAAAAAAAAGACCCTCTCTTAAAAAGAGAAAAAGAAAATGACATTTTCTTTGAGTTAGGGTTTGTATGAATGATTTTGTTTTTTAATTTAGCCACAACTTGGTATACATCTGTTATTACCTTCCTTTCCCCATCTTGAAGTAACCAGGCTATTTGTATGCTGGAAAAACGAGAAAAACCATCACCAAGTATGTTTGGTGAGTTGCTTCAGAATGCCAGCACCATGGGGGACCTGCGAAACTGTCCGGTGAGTTAACTCTTTGGACTTTAGGATGAGAAAGAGAACCCTGGTTTGTAGCATCGCCACGGAGCAGGTGAGAATGTTTGAACTAGCACTGTGTGTGTATGTATTTCAGAGCAACTGTGGGGAGAGGATCCGGATTCGCCGTGTGTTGATGAACGCACCACAGATTATCACAATTGGACTGGTTTGGGACTCAGACCATTCAGACTTGGCAGAGGATGTCATCCACAGTCTGGGCACCTGCCTTAAGCTGGGTGATGTATGTATTAGCTACCTTTATTTCTGTATTGTTCAAGCACTGAACAGACAGGCGTGTTCTAAGTGGCAATTAATATAGCATTTTTGGGCAGATATACTTGCGTTTCTGTGTGCAGATTCATGAGCCTCATGCATATGCTCACATACCACTTTTGTGAGGATGGTAGAACCCTTTTAGAAAAAAAAAGGCACAATTTTTGTCTTGAAGGACAGGATGGGCAGAACTTAGATATTGGTAAAAAAAAATTAGTTTCCATGGGATGTTTATTGTTTGTTTATACCAGGATGGTGCTGAGAAGTGTATTCAACCATGGGAAATAGTAAGGTCAAAGGAACAAAGTCTTGACTTTGGGAACTGGAGGAGGTAGAAGTTGGTGGCCTGAGCCCAAGAATAGGAAATTCACAGTGAGGACACAACAGAGAGACCATCACCGAGGCCACTCCCTTGTGAGGGGGAAAGATTTTTGTTTTTGTTTTTTTATTGTAGATAAGAGAGAGAAAGAGAATAGACAGAGGCATCTGGGGTAAGTCTGCCTTGGCTACTCTCCAAGACAGAGAGAGGAGCAGAGAGAAAAAGCAAGGAGGGGGCAGACTGGCAATTGCAGAGAAGACAGCAAAAATAGTGGGAGAGTCCTGCCAGTTAAAGAGGTTGTGTTGCAGCAGGAGGAGGGCCGGTTAGTGGAACAGCTTGGGAACTAGCATGGAGTCTAATCTGTTGGAAGTTTATTTGCATTAATGGAGGGCTAGATGTTCCCTCTGGAGACTGGAGGCCTGTAGGAACAGACAGGAAAGTGATGGCTTCCCACCTACAAACAGAAAGTCACTTTACAAGGTTCCTGAGGAATGCTGCGTGTCATTGGGTCAGAATCCAGCCTGAATCCAGATTGCCATTCTGTGGGGTTGGTATCTGACAGTAATAAAATAGCTTAGATGATAATCTTAGGGGTTTCTGTGTGTTTATTTTGGGGAATGGGGAAATAAAATGTGAGAGTAGGTTTCATTCTTATAAGCTTTATGATAGGGACAGCTCATGTTTTCCTTCAGTTCAAGGAGAACCAAAAAGTCTGGTTTCCTTTGTTTTGGTTTCTGTCTGGGACAGTCCCATGACCAAGGAGAGGCTGTTCTTGTTTTAAATAGCCACTCCTGAGAATAAATGAGCTGTCTGGGGTCACAGTTTGGATCTCCTCAAGGAATCTAACTGAAGGTTGTACACAGTAAGATCTTAAAAGTAGGGTTCTTGTTTGTTTCTTTGTTTTACAGTCTAAATATTCTATATTATTTCTAGTTTAATAAAAAGAATCTTTGAGTCAGAATCTCATATAATACAAGCTGGATAACAATGGGATATGTAGCCTAGTTTGCTCTTGAATTCTTAATACTCTTGCCTCTATCCCTCTTTATCTATTAGGTAAAGGATAAAGGATTATAGGTGTGTGCCATCATGCCTGATTTTGATTTAATTATTTTGATTATTTTCTCAACCAGGTCAATTTTTAGTTCAGAATCCCTTAATTCAAATGTTTGTGTCTCTTAGCGCTTGAGACAGAGCTGAGCATCTAGGAGCTGAAAAAAAATTGAAACTTGAGGGCTGGTTTTTGTTTTGTTTTGAAATTGTTGTGGCTTCTCTTATGCCTCAGAATGAAAATATTGAACTCAGCATGTAGCCCAGGCTATCTTTAGACTTATGATCCTCTTGCCTTAGCCTCCCTGGGTTGGCATTATAGGCATATGCCAACATGTATGCCTTTCCAGTTCATTTCTAATAAATAATCTGGACTATCGAAAATATTTCAGCTTGAGGGGAAAAACAAGTTACTGTCTTTATTTAAGAAATGCTGATGGCCACTGGACATGGTAGCACAGCATTTGAGAGGCAGAAGCAGAAGATCAGGAGTTCAGAATCATTCTTAGCTATACAATGAGTGGAAAACCAGTCTGGCTACATGAGGCTCCATCTTGATAAAACAAAACAAAATAAAGAAATGTTGACGGAAGAGCTAGTGTGGTAGTGTGTGCTTATAGTCTCAGCATGCAGAAGGCTGAGGCTGCTGCTACCAGCCAGGGATAGATACATAGTGTGGCCTTTTTCAGGGTGGAGAAGAAAGAGAAATATTGATGGAGTCTGCTGAGGAGTTATGTTAGATGGTTGACTCTGTGATGAGTCTTTACCTTCTTTTTGTTTTCTTCCTATAGTTGTTTTTCAGAGTGACAGATGACCGGGCCAAACAGTCTGAACTATACTTAGTAGGAATGATCTGTTACTATGGCAAACATTATTCTACATTCTTTTTTCAAACAAAGATCCGAAAATGGATGTATTTTGATGATGCTCATGTCAAAGAGGTAGGAATATGCAAGGATCTTGAAGTATTTGGTGACTGAAATTTAAAAAAATATATTTATTTTTCCTCAGTTTTTATTTTAATAGTTTTGAATGGTGATTCTCTACACTGTCGGCAAGACACACATACTTTGTGTTTGGATTGTTTTTCTTTTTCTTAAAAAAAAAAGATTTAATTTAATTTTCATTTTTATTTATTGTGGGTTTTTTTTTTGGGGGGGGGAGCAGGGTTTATCTGTGTAACCTTGGCTGTCCTAGAACTCTCTTTGTAGACCAGGCTGGCCTTGAACTCACAGAGATCTACACCTGTCTCTGTCTCCTGAGTGTTGTGATCAAAGGCATGTGTCACCACTGCATGGCTAATTTTATTATTTGAAAATCGTGTCTGTGTATATGTATGCACATTTATGTGGGTATGGTATGTGAGTGTAGGTGCCCACAGAGGCTAGAGTGGTCAGAACCTTCTGGGTCTAGAATTACAGGTGTTTGTGAGAACTAAATTCCAGTCTTCTAGAAGAGCATTAACCAGTCTTACTGAGTCATCTCTTCAGCCCCAGTAGGTTGTTTTTCTGAAGCAGGGTTTTAATCTGTATTCCAGGCTGGCCTGGAACTCAAAATGTAGTCCAGGCTGGCCTCAAACTCGTAGAGAAGTCCTCCTTCCTTAGCCTCCCAAATTACAGGTAAGAGCTATTACACCTGGACGTTTATCTGTTAAACATAAGGACAGTAGTTTTAAAATTCTGTAATAGATAGGAACAGAATATCTTTTATTATTTTCTCTCAGTTTCTCTAGACATTTAGCATGGTTTGTTTTTATAGTTGACAAGTCATCCTCATTATTAAATGGTTTATTGGAATGGGAACAAGTAGTGTAGCTAATTAGATTTTGTGGTGAACTCCGAGTTGAGGACTTTGAATTTGGCATCATCCATCGGTGATTATTAAAAATGATCCTTTCCAGGCAGTGGTTGTGCATGCCTTTAATCCAGCACTCGGGAATCAGAGGCAGATCTGTCTGATTTACAGATCAAGTTTCAGGATAGATAGGGCTGCAAAGAGAAACAAACAAAACAAACAAATAAAAATTATCCTACAATTCTCATTTCCCTGGAGAGGTTAACATGAAAAATGGGCTATAGTGATAACCTAAAGCAAGAAACTTGGTCTTGTCTAAAGAAGACTCTATGGATAAAATGGTTTAGGTGTCTGCATCAGTTAGGAAGCTACTTTTCATAAAACCAGCAGGGTCAGGAGGGTGGTTGGGAGAGAATGGGAGGGGAAGAGGGAGGGGAAACTGTTGTTGGAATGTAAAATAAATGAATAAATTTAATAGTAAAAAAATTAGCTGCTATGAAGGCTGCTGTAGATATGTTAATCATATCAATATGTAGATTTGAAGAAAAATCTTCCACTAGTAGAGTCTTTGTCAAATTTCAATATTCTCTTTTGTGGGGAGGGACAAAAATTATTTGAACATTAGGGTTTTTTTTGTTTTTTGTTTTTTTAACCTGAAAAGTATTCCTATAAAACAATAAGATTGGGATGTGAACATAAACTATGCTTTAATTTAAATAATGGCAACTTAGCTTTAACTTACTGAAAGTGTGTTCTGAGTAAACTATCATACTAGCTAGTTGTCTAGCTGGCAAGCCATAATTACACCTAAGAATGTCTGGTTCACGCTTAAGAAGGGATGAATCAATGGCTGTTATGTTACTCTTCCACTGTGATTGCAGAGCTGAATCCATCACAAGGCTACGGCCCAGAGGTTCAAACTGTCTATTTTAAGCAGTTTGCATTTTATGTCTTGCCATGTGTGAACTCTAAAATTGAATGTTATTTATTCTAAGATACTCTGTAAGAGAGTTTCTTAATATTTAGGAATGAAATTGTGGAAGTGGAAATTTGAAGTGAGCTCTTAAATCTAATGTCTATGAAAAGAAGTTGATTAATAAAGCAACCTAGACTCTTCACATAGCATGTCCACCTTTGTGAGTTTTTTTTTTTGCATATTTCAAAACTGAGTTAAGCCAGGAGGTGGTGGTGCACGCCTTCAATCCCAGCACTCAGGAGGCAGAGGCAGGCGGATCTCTGTGAGTTTGAGGCCAGCCTGGTCT